AAGCACGTCGACCCCGAGTGGATCAATACCGCAGCGGACACAGTGGTTGCGGCTGCAGAACACAGCGGCGAAGCGCCTTCAGTCATCACCAGCGTCTTCGCCAACTTCAAGAAGGCCGTCGATGCAAGCCACATGCGTGGCGAGTACGTGCTCGCAGTGGTGGCGTCGACGTGCGGGCCACCAGCGCTCATGGCAAAGCCGTGCGGCGTCTGCATGAAGACCGCCCTCGCCAGCATGAACATCCAGACTGTAGCTGTCGCTCTTTGTGATATCGATGCCTGCCAGGACTCCGAGGACGCATGGGTGAGATTCTGGGTCGATGCCATCGGGAAGCTCGCAGAGGCCTCCACCGACAACTACGCGCGGTCATGGCGGACCTGAGGACCCGCCACAAGCCCTCGAGGACGCCGATCGCCACGCCGTCGTCGGACACGCAGGCTTCTTCGCAGACTCAGGAGCCTCAGTCTGCCAGCGCTGTAGTGGCCGCCGCAGCGCAGGAGTCCCAGGTTGCGGCGCTGCCCACTCCCATCATGACGCTCGCAGACATCTACGAGCTCGCCGACGCCCCCATCCTCAAGGAGGGCGGCATGGAGGCTCCTTCATTATACATCCTTATCTTCACCTTTTCTTCTCCCACCGCTCCTACTGAGTAGGAGCGGCAGGAGCGGTGGGAGAAGAAAAGGGGAAGCCAAGGATGGGTATGAGGCGAAGGCGAAGGTATGAGTAGGAGTCCTGCTCATACCTTCGCCTTCGCTGTTGTCTTTCATTGATCAGGTTAGCGTGGGCGCGTGCTATCTGGGGCGCGTCCAGCGCGCCCTCGAGAAGATCGTTTGGGACATGGTCGACCCGAGCTGTTTCGCCGAGGCCGTCGCCATTGACTTGTCCAAGAAGGGTGGTGAGCCAGTTGCGCTCGAGATCACGGCGAAGTTGAAACTTGTGTTTGCTGGAAGCGTGCAGCTCTGGCAGTCGCCGCCGACCAAGAAGAGTTTCAAGCTTGCCACCGTCCTCGGCTCTGACATGTGGTTGCACGGGGATGCGCACTCTAAGATCACGTCGGAATGCCCCGTCCCAGCCTGGATGGTCGGCACCACGCCCAAGGAGGCAGAGGCGAACGTGGAGTTGACCTACACCCACAAGGTCGTGTACCTGGACGCGCTCTCGCTGTACCCGTGCGCCCACGACGTTGCGGACTCGCTCCGCATCGACATGACGGCGCCCCACCTCACGCCATTGGCCGCGCGGGTGGGGGCGACAGCGACGCCCGGAGCGCCTTTTGTTTTGAAGCGGTTCGTTGCTGCGACCAAGGGGCGCCAGACTGGCGCCAAGCGGTCTGCTGCAGCAGCAGACCTCAGTGGCGCTGCCGCAGTGTGCTCTGGGCCTTCTGCGAAAGCTATCCAGGAGCGTTTGGACGCCATCGCAGCGCAGAAGGCTGGCGGTGCGCCCCCCGCGCCGAAGCCCAAGGCTAAGGCCAAGAGCAGGGGTGCCGCCGTGGGCAAGCACCTCTTGCGATAGGCTATCGGCCCTCGGCTAGAGGAGGGAGGGGGATAGGATAGGAGGAGGATGACGAGGAGGAGGAGGACGAGGAGGACTAGGACGAGGTAGAAGAGTGGAAGAGAACTACGAGGAGGAAGATGGTGGGATGGGAGTCGAGGCGGCCGAGGCGGGAGGCCTTCCAAGACGGTGGCGCAGTACCTACTCAGGTCCTCCGAAGGTCCGAAGGCCCTTCTGTCCCTTTACTCCTCTCAGAGCCCACGCCCCCCCATCAAATTTCACCTCCAACGCCTCAGCCTCATCCCTCCTCCTCCTCCTCCTCCTCCTCCTCCTCCTCCTCCTCTTCCTCCTCCTCACCCTCCTCCTCCTCTTCCTCCTCCCCCTCCTGGTCTTCCCCCACCTCTGCGTTTTCTCATTCAGTGTCCTCTGATTGGCGCGCGATCTGGCGCTCGTGGGTTGGGCGACGTCCATGCCATCAGATGTAATTAACTTGTTTGCACGTCGCCGAGCCTGTGGCAGATCCTGCCCTCCGTTCCGCTGTCCGCGTGCCGGCTCGGCGGACATGATGAGTCGGGTCGGCCACATGCCATGCGCTATCTATACTCGTCCCGCCTTGTCTTCACAGGACACGCGCGCACGACGCACGCGCGCGCACAACAACACAACAGCCTCGCTTGCCAGCGACTCGATGGGATTGCATGTTTTTGTGATGTATTTGCTGATGAGATCTCTGCGCCGAGCAGACGGCCCGACGGCCGAGCCAGCTCGCCGCGCGTTTGGGTAACCCGCGCGTGGCGCGGGCTGTCGCTGTCGCCGCGCTGTCGCCTCGAGGCCGCCTCGGGCCGCCTCGGGAGAGCCCGGGAGCGCGGCTCGGCGCGCGGTAGGTCGGCCTGAAGGGCCCTGAAGGGCCTGAGGAGGCCTGATGTCAGGTCGCGATGGTGCGAGCAACGAGCCCATCTCACGTTCATCTTCATCATCGCTCCATCGCTCGCCGCCGCCAGTGCAGCATTAACGAGCACAATCGATCTCAACAACGCGTCACAGTACACCACCATCGTCATCACCACCACCGTCGACATCACCATCGATCGCCCTGGTTACCTGGTTACCTGTCATCATCGGCGTCGTCGGCCCTCCTCCTCCTCAGCTCCTCCTCCTCCTCCCCCTCACCCTTCACCTCCCCCCTCCTCCTCTCACATCCTCATCCTCTTCCTCCCCCTCCTCCTCCTCCTCCTTTTCCTCCTCCTCCCTCGCTCTCACCTCCTCCTCCTCCTCCTCCTCCTCCTCTTACCTCCTCCTCCTCCTCCTCCTGCTCGTCATCCTCTCACCTCCTTCCTCAGAGTCTCCATCGTCATCCGAGTCATCACCCCTCCTCTCAGCCCTGGCCCTGCCCCGACGCTAGGAGCGGCGCCGTGGACGCGCTGGCAGGGGGCTGCCCCGCGCGCCACGCGTTGCCGCGTTGCGCCGAGAACGCGGCGGCCGGCGGCGAAGTCGAGGCCGTGGCCCCCAGCGATGATGCTGGCGGCCTCCTCTCCTCCTCCTTCTCCTTCCTCCTCCTCCCACACTCCACTTGCCCGGACGCACGCACGCCTCCCCTTTACTTATCCTCCTTCCTCCTCCCTCCCACCCTCCCCCATCCCCTCCCACTCTCCTCCTTCCTCTCCCTTCATTCTCCTTTTTTTTCCTCCTCCTGGCGGCGACCGGCCTAGCCCGCCGAGTGCTGGACGACGGTCCGGCAGCCTCTCGGGGCCGGATTGGCGGACGTCGCGGTGCGTCTCTGGGAAATCGGCCAGCAGCGACCCGGCTGCGCGGCGACCAGCGACCGAAGGGGGGGGGGCGTTGAGGGGCGGGGCGATGAGCGATGAGACGATGAGACGATGAAGCGTTGATTAGACGATGAGACGGCGGCAAAGGGGCGATGAGATGAGACGGCTGCGAAGGGGCGATGAGACGATGAGACGAGGCGATTTTTGAGATTGAGATGTGAGGACGGCCTATTGCGACGGGGAGAGATGAGGGACGCGATGAGACGAGGCGAAGGGGCGATGAGACGATGGGCGACGGCGCACGCGGCGTCGACGATGACGTCGACGGTGGTGCGGCTACGACGGCTACGACTCGGCGGCGACGACGGGCGGCGATGGCGACGCGGCGCGGCGGCGAGTCGGCGGCGACGATGGCGGCCAGAGAAGCAGCTCGAAGCAGCAACGCACGCAAAAGACGAAGAGGCATAACACGACGGGTGACCAGGAGTGGCAGGACTGAGCAGGACGGAGGTGAGGAGGAGGAGGAAAAGTAACGGATAGGATGAAGATGAGGAGGAATTGAGGATGATGATGGTGAGGGAATTCATGATGCGGAGGGGGATAATGAGGATGTGTATAGGAATGCTGGAGATGAAAAGATTGAAGAGGGAGGAAGGGGGGCGAGCGGAGGAGGGAGGAGGAGGACGGAGGAGGATGACAATGCATGTAGTCACTCACCTCTGCCAGGCGTGCCCGACACAGCGCGGAGACAACATTTCAGAGTATGTCTCGCTACTTCCCGCGTCCCCCTTCCTCGCTCACTCCTTTCACTCCCCAGCACCGCGTTCCCCCCCCCCCCCTCCGTCCCCACCCCCGACGCTGTCGCCTCTTCCTAGGTCTGCTGGGACTTATCTCCGCGCTGTGGGTGGGCGGGAATGCTTCATGTTTTGCCCCCACAATATGAGAACATACTAGGGGTTGGGTCGATCCGACACATGCGATGCGATTGCAACTTTCACATAAGGTTTGGTTATGCCGTGGCTGCGGTCGTTACGGCAGTCAGCAGAATCGAGCCCTTAGCAAGCCATGTGACTTTCAGATCCCTGCTCATCGAGGCGAGTACCTCGATCGAATTGAGCAGGGAAAGTGGCCAAAGCTTCTTAGCAAAGCTGAGCAGCGAAGCCGCCTCTAGTTTGTTTTCTCGACTACGTCGAATTGGTCTCAGGATAGCGCGAGACTCCCTCCCCTTACTGGCCGCTCCTCCTAATCAGTCCGCATACTCCACCCCTCCCTTCTCCTCCTAAGCCTTCTACCTTGCCCCTACCTCCCTCCTTCCTTGTCCTCCTCTCCTGTATCCTCCTCTCTCCTCATCCTACCTCCTCCTCTCCTTTCCTCCTCCCATCTCCCCCCCCAGTCCTCCTCTCCCTGCTCCTCCTCCCTCATCTCCTCCTCCTCTTTCCCCCTCCTCCTCCCCCTCCACCCATCTACCCCCCCCCATTTCCCTCCTCATGCTCCTCCTCCACCTTCCCTTCCTCCTCCTCCTCCTCCTCCTCCTCTCCCTCCTTCTCGTCCTTCTCCTGCTCCTCCTGCTCCTCCTCCTCCTGCTCCTCCTCGCTTCTCCTCCTCCTCCTCCTCCTCCTCCTCCTTCTCCTCCTGCTTCTACTACTCCTCTGCCATCGCCCCCGGATCCCCATGGCCCCGCTTGCCCCCGTCGCCTTTCCTCCCCGCGGCCCTTCGCGCGGGCGGAGGCGGCCGCCGTGCCCCGGCTCAGGCTGCGGCCCTGCGCCCCCCCCAAAGTGGTTCGTGGCGCGCGCCCGCGGGCGCGCTTTGAGGTCGTCGTTCGACATTGTCGTCGTCGTCGTCGTTGTCGTCGTCGTCGTCGTCGTCCGTCTCTTCCGTTCTCTCCTCATCCCCTCTTCTCCTTCCTCGCTCGCCCTTTTGTCCTCCTCCTACCTCCACCCCATCACATCCTGAACCTCGAATTTCTGACCCTCTGTATCCTCATCCTCACCGGTTGATCACTGCCCTGTGCTTATCATCCTCCCTGCGAATCGTCATCGTCATTGCCGTCATCCACCAGCACCAGCATTGTGATTCGTCATTCCTCCACCTCGTCGTTCGTCATTGTCCTCGTCGTGGTCGCCGTCGTCCCATCCTTTTTGTTGTCCCCTCCTCCCTCGTCCTCTTTTTCCTTTGTCATGCCTTTCTCCTCGTTTTTTCCATCCTCTTTGGTGTGTGTCTTTCTTTTTTTCTCTCCCCCCTCTCTCCCGGTCTCCCTCTCTCTTCCTCTCTCTCTTTCTGTTTCTCTTTCTCTCTCTCTCTCTTCCTCTGCGGCTTCCCAGTCCCTGAGGGTGGTGGAGGCGCTGAGGCGGCGAGGGCGCCGCAGCCGCGCCCCAGGCGCCCAGGGAGGGGGGGTCGAGTCAGGCTCTGACTGAGCCCGCTGGGCGTGACAGGCCCCCGCTGGGTCACTCCTCGGTCGCGCTCTCTCTCTCTCTCTCTCTCTCTGTTTCTTTCGATGCTCGTTTCGGGGACCCTCCTGGAGCCCACCTAACGGATCTGTTCGACCCCAGTTCGACTCAAGTTCGACTCAATTTCGGCTCAAGTTCGACTCAGGTTCGACTCAGGGTCGACCCGACTCGACTGACGTTCGACGCAGCTTCGACGCACGAGTGGAGCGAGTGGCTCCAGGAAGGCCCCCAGAACGAGCATCCAAGTTTCTCTCTCTGCGGCTTCCTGGCGTTCTGGCTCCTGCCGCCGCGAGGGAGCGGGAGTCTCCAGGGGAGCGGGTCCAGTACCCCAGGGGCGTTGTCCTCCCCCTCTTCCTCCTCCTCCTCCTCCTCCTCCTCCTCCTCCTCCTCCTCCTCCTCATCCTCATCCTCTTCGTCCTACTACTTCTCCTCCTCCTCCTCCTCCTCCTCCTCCTCCTCCTCCTCCTCCTGCTCGCCTCCTCACCCTGGATTGTTTTTGACCGTCGCCGCGGCCTTTGGGGGGCCCGTGGGGCCAGAACGCGTAGATCCATCAATGATCTCTTCTCTCAGGGCCCGTCTTCGGTCGACGAAAACTGTACAGTCAAACATCCTAATAAGGACGCGCGACTTTGCTCAGGGTACCCTTGCGTCCTTGCTCTTCCTTGCTCGTGCGTCCTTGAGGTTTTCGTCGTCCGCCGCCCCAAAAATCCCAACTTCGGCTTCCAAGGGTCTTGCGTCCTTACCGCGCGTCCTTATTAGGGTTTTCAACTGTACACGTCCGCTGCTCCTGGCCAGGCCCATCCTGAAACCGACAGCTGCACATACGCCGTCCTGGCCAAGCCGCGAGGACGGGACGTGCACACCCCGCGCTTGGTTCAGGATGGGCCTGGCCACGGAAACAGGTCTCGTCGCCCTCCGTGATCGATGATACATCGTCGCCCTACAGTGCCGTTTTTAATACATGCTCCGCGTGCGGATCATATGTTAAGAATGCAGGGGTTTAATATTAAAAACAACGATGAGTTCATGCATAAATTTAGTCATACATTGATCATGTATGACCAAATCCAATGTTTTTGTTAACAATCCTATGTATTCGAAACTGCCCTGTACGTTCTCCCTCGTTCAGTGCTGATTCCGGGCCGAGCTTGCCACTCCGGATTTCACAGCAAAAAGGGTGGTGGCCTGATGTTTTTGGGGGAGGTCTGCTTCGAGCTGTCTTGGAGGGTTCCGGCAGGGCCCTGGCAGAAGGACACGTCCTCGCAGGGCTGGTCGGGGGGGGGGGTCTCACGCTGCTCGCCCAGGAGGGCTCTGGCCCCCCCGCGCCTGCGCTGCGAAGACTGGCGTGCGCTCGGTCGCCTCGGGCCTCGGCCTCGACGCGGAGCGCCGACGTCGCCGATCTGCCTCGCCGGCGTCGCCGCTGCATCGCCGGTGCATCGCCGGTGCATCGCCAGCGCACCGGCGACGCAGTCGCGGTGCTTACCAGCCTGGAACATATCCCTATCCCTATGTTGGGCACCTCCTCATCACGATGCCGATCTAAGGCATTCCCTTAATCTTTGAGGGCGAATCCCTAAGATTGTCATCGCCTTTTGGCGTGTCGATCTTAGGGATAGGGATAGGGATACGTTCGAGGCTGGTAAGCAGTCGCGGTGCGGCGTGATCCTTCGGCCCCGCCTGCTCGGACGTCCTCCGTCGCGCGGTGCCGCTGCTTCCGGCCGCGCGGGCGGCATGTTTCAGGAGGAAAAGACACACACAGACACAATGAATCCTCGATTCCCCAGAAAATATTGGAAAATATGGGAAGTGGGGGGGAAGACAGAAACCCAGAAACTATGGGAAAGTATGGGGAATCTGTGTTTATTTGTGTGTATTTGTTTGTGTGTCCTGGGGCCCCTTCAACGTTGTGTTGGCCTCGGGCCTCGGCCGCTCGCCTCTTTTCTCTGCCCCGTTTGCCGCGCCGCCCCGCGAGCACGCCCGGGCACGGGCTTGGCTCCTGCCCCTCCGCTTGGCCGCCTGGCCCTCTTATCGGGGGCGGAAAATCAGGAGCGAAAGAAGGACGTACATGTACATGAATCCACGCTGGTTTCGAGAGCACGCATTGCACAAATGTTCGTATCACGCGGCCGGTCTCGCGAATCGAGGGGCCGTGTTCATGTACATAGCTGGGCGCGTACGTCCTTTGTGGGCTCCCTATTATCGGGGGCGGAATAGAGGGGGGTGATGACTGGGGGGGGGGGGGATATCATGGCGGGGGCCATGAGATCTCCCCAGATCTCAGGGCGCCCCTTCTTGATTCACTGCGTCCCCGGCCCCCCCGCTGGGCCGCGCACGTGCCGCCGGTCATGATTTGCACCCCGCCCCTCTTGGACGCCCCCCTCTTGGCCGCTCCCGAGCTTTGCCGCCTGGCCCTCGGAGGCCTCCCGGATTCAGGAGGGGGGAAAACACACGGACACAATTCATCGTCGATTCCCAGGACAATATGGGCAAATATGGGAAGTGGGGGGGGGAAACAAACACCAAGAAAAGATGGGGGAGAATGTGGGGAATGAGTTTATTCGTGTGTATTTCTTTTTGTGTCCCAGGGCCCCTTGGGGTCGGAGGATCGCGCCGCATCGCCGATGCCTCGCCGATGCGGCGCGATTCCTGGGCTTACGCCGCACCGCCGACCCCTTGGGAGGCTCCTGGTAGGTCTCTCGGGGGCCTCTTGGCAGCCCTTCTGAAGCCTTTTGGGGGCCGTTTTGGGGCCTCTTGGGGCCTCTGGTGGGCCTCTTGGAGCCTCTTGGGGGCTTCTTGGGCGCCTCTTGGGGCCTCCTGGAGACTTCTTGGGCTCGAAATTTCCGTTCGGGTCCCCCTCTTGGGCCCCCACCTGGAGCCGTTTGGCGGGCCTTTTGGGCCGTCTTGGGGCCGTCTTGGAGCCGTCTTGGGGGCTTCCTTGGTCGTCTTGGGGCGATCTTGAAGGCCTCTTGGGCCGTCTTGGACGTTGTGAAAGCCCAAGAGGCGAATTTGCTGAAAACATGTTTTCCCCAAAGGAATGGGACGATGTTTGATTTTGGGTGCCCTCGTGGGGCGCCTCTTGGGGGCCTCTTGGGGCGTCTCGGGGGTCTCTTGGGCAGTCTGGGAGCCATCTTGGGCGTCTTGGAGCGATCCATCGGCGATTCGGGGCCCTCTTGGACCATCTTGTGGGCCTCTTGGGGCCCCCCTGGCCCGTCGCGAGGACCGTGACGCGTTCAGCCGGGGCCGGCCGAACTCCCCCCCCCTTTCCAAACCGACCGGACCGGGCCCGGGGGGGGGAGGGGTTTGGGGAGGGGGCAGCATCTCACACGACTTGGCATCGCTCGGACGTGTGTGTGTTTTTTTTCTCGGTGAGGACCCTCGAGGAACATCCAAGATCATCGAGCGAACAACAACACGCACGAAACCGAAACATGCACGGGAAATGTACGTCCGAGCGACTGCAAGACGACGATGACTCCAAGGGGCCGGCGGATTTTTCAATCCGGGGTCCCCAGAAGTCTCGACCCGTTCCCCAGGACCAGCTTCTCGCCTTGAATCGTTTCTGCTGACGGTCCCGAGGCCCGCCGAGGGCCTCCAGGGGCCGAAAACGGCGAGAAACTTCCGTCCTAAATTTTTCAGTGCGCTGGATCTCCGGGGACGACCACGACGACCACGACTAAGTCACGCATGTCTTTTTACCATAAGGGTCTTCAAACATAGTACACACATCGTCGGGGGACGTTGCTCCTAACACTTGTCGATGTTATGTTTTGAGTCTCTTTAACTTTCGCGCAAAATCCGCCTGTAGGGGGGCATGCCCGACCTAAGACGACGACGACGACGACGACGACGACGACGACGACCACGACGACGACGACGACCACGACCACGACCACGACCACGACCACGACGACGACGACGACGACAACGAAGACCGACGACGACGACGACGACGACGACGACGACGACGACGACCACGACGTCGAAAACCAAGACGCCAGCGGCGCGGACGACGAGGACGGCCGGCCTCATCTGGAGGCCTGCGACGGGCGACGCCTCGGACGGCCCGTCTCGCCTGGAGGCCTCACGGAGCCGTCTCTCGCCGTGGAGGCCTCCGGCGGCGCGAACCGCGGAGGAGGACCCCGATAGGAGGACCCCGGCCGCCCGATGTATGCCCGGAGCAGCGGGTGGTCACCACGAGTCTCAGTTGCCTCGCCACACTGTGTTCGGGGGCGGCCAAGAGGGGTGTGATGACGACCCCGAGTTTCTTCATGAGCGTCGGGGTGGCGTCACCCCCGCCCACAGCCCCACATCGACCCCCGTCGCGGGCAGTCACCGCGCGCCGAAGGCGCTCCGACCCCCGTCGCGGTACGACGAGGAGGCGAGGCTGACCCCTGGCGGGGGGGGGCCACACTTATCAGGAAACCCAGAATGTGGGGAGGGGGGATATGGCGGGGGCCATGATATCTCACCAGATTTCATGGCGCCTTCTCTTATTTCAACGCGTCCTTGGCCCCCCACCCCTGGGCCGCGCACATGCCGGCTCCATGATTGCGCCCCCCCCCCTCTCGGACGCCCCCTCTTGGCCGACCTCGAAAGTCCCAGTTGCCTCGCCACACTGTGTGGTGACCACGCCGATAGGGGGCCCCTAATATCAAGTCGGGCGTATCCTTCCACAGGAGGAATATTCGAGAGTCGTCAAAAGATAGTCTGGGGGGATGTTTCCACTATGTTTGACTATGGTTGAAGGTTTGTTGGCTATTTCAGATTTCTCTTCCAAAGTCCGCCTGTAGGAGGACATGCCAGACCTAACCCTTATACGAGAGGGGGGGGTCGGTAACGGGCTTGATCGCGAATCGTTCAAACATTGATCTCAAGGCTCCTACCTTTCAGCGCTCTTCCTTGGCAGAACCCCTGGACAGCGGGACAAGCTGCGCCAGCGACGCCGCCAAATCGGCCGTGCGAGAGAGGGTGAGAGGGACGAGGAGTCAGTCGGACACGAGCGAGGACGACGACCATGAGGACGAGGATGAGGATCCTCTTCCTGCTATGAATCCTCCTTATCCTCCGCCCTTTCGTCAACAGGTTCCTCATGTCCTTTTCCCTTTACCCCTGTCCTCTCTCTCCTTCTCGTTCTGCCTCTCTTTGTTTCTCTCTATCTCTCAAGCTTCTCTGTGTGTGTTTCTCTCCCTATCCATCTTTTGTTTGTTTGTGCTATCTCTCTCTCTCTCTCTTCTCTCTCTCTATCTCTCTCTTCTCTCTCTCTCTCTCTTTCTCCCTCTCTCTCCCTCCCCCTCTCACGTGTTGCCTACGTTCACGCAGAGCGCAGGAGGGAACGGAGGGACGCAGGAGCAGAAAGAGGTGGAGGGAAGGCATGGGAAGCAGGAGGAGGAGGAGGAGGAGGAGAAGGACGACGACGCGAACGGAGGCGCACGAGGACGAGGAGTGTAGGAGGAGGAGGAGGAGGAAGCCCCTTCCTCCTCCGCCTCCTCTCTGTCGCCTCCTCCTCCTCCTCCTCCTCGACATTCTCCTCCTTCTCCTCCTCCTTCTCCTCCTCCTTCTCCTCCTCCTCCTCCTCCTCCTCCTCCTCCCTCCTCCCTCCTCCCTCCTGCCCCTTCCGCTCTGCCGCTCCCCTCCGGCACGGCCGCCCGGGGGCCGTGCCCAGGTCGCATGGATGGCGCCCAGCGGCTGCTCGCCGCTACGAGAGGCGCGCCCGCCGTCCTCGCCGCGGCCGCCGCGGCCACGGCGGCGGCGGCGCCGACGGCGAGGGGGAGGGGCGAGGAGGGAGGGGGACGCCGCGCGCCTCCCAGACAGGCCCCGCGTCCCCCCTCTCTCGCCCTCCCTCGCGGGGGGACAGGGGGGGAGGATGGGGGAGGAGAAGGGGGGAGGGAGGAGGGAGGAGGTAGGAGGAAGGCGAGGAGGAGGAGGAGGAGGGGAGGAAGGATGGAGGAAGGAGAGCAGGAGCAGGAGCAGGAGGGAGAGGAGGAGAGGAGGAGCAGGAGGAGGAGGGAGGGAGGAGGAGGGAGGAGGTGGAGCAGGGGGGGGACGAGGACGAGGAGGAGGAGGAGGAGGAGGAGGAGGAGGAGGAGGAGGAGGAGGAGGAGGAGGAGAGGCGTTCTGGGCTCTCCGAGAGGGGGGGGTCTTGTGCGTGCATACTTCAGAGCGCCGTGCACGCACGAGCGCGGGCTACGATTGCTTTCCATACTGAAGAGAGGGGAACCATTCCTCGCGTTCCGCAACCCTCTTGGCTCCCATGGCTGGCTCCGCCGGGCCGCGGCCCCCACTCGCGCCGCGGCGCGTCACGTGGGCCGACGGCGGCGGAGGCTGCGGCGCGCCCTGGCGCGGCAGCGCGGGCGGCGCGGGCGCAGGGAGTGGCAAGGTCCTGCCTGGCCCGCGGAAGCCTGCTTGGGGCTGCGGCCGCTGCGGCGCCGACGGCAACTGGGCCAGCCGCCTGGCCTGCCGCGGGTGCGGAGTGGCGGCCCCACTGTCGGTGCGCCAGCGCGCAGTGGAGGCCGCGGCTGGAGCGCCCCAGGCTGCGGGCGCGCGGGATGTCTCGCCGAAGGCCGCGCCCAAGGTCAAGGCCAAGAAGGAGGAGAGCGGTGCAGGGCCGCTCGCTGGCAGCGCAGGAGGCGGTGCCCAGGGAGCGCAGCCCCAGCAGCCGAGCGCGGCGGACCTGCTGGCCCAGCTCGAGGCGCGCGGACAGGGCCAAGCTGCTGCCCAAGCAGCCCGAGGAGGCCCCGAAGGAAGAGAAGCCGCGCACGCACTCCCAAGTGCTGCAGGGGCTCCTCTGGAAGGTGGAGCGGCTCGGCAAGCAGGCCAAGTCCAGGAGGGGCGAGCAGGAGGCCGCTGAGGAGGCCGTCAGCGCAGCCCAGGAGGAGTTGGAGCAGGCCAAGCGGAAGGTGGCTGAAGCTGACAGGAAGCTGGCAGCCGCCCAGGACGAGCTGGAGCAGGCCAAGAAGGTCCAGGAGGTCGGCCTTCCGCCTGGGACCAAGTCGTCCAAGGCAGGTGACCTCGCCAGCGCCCTGGAGGGGATCCGCGCCCTCGCGAGCGTGCTGCGGGAGCAGAGCGGGGCAGTCGGGGAGGCCATCCAGAAGGCCAAGGCCGCCCTCGAGGCCAAGGCGGTCGTCCTGCGGCAAGAGGTCGACTCCGAGCAGACCCCGCCTCCCGAGGACGACGTCGAGATGGCGAAGGCACCCCTTGGGGTCCCTGCTGACGATGCTGGTCCTGCTGCTTCAGGTGGTGATTGCGGGGGCGGCAGGGTCGACGCCGAGGGCGAGGCTTTCATCGAGCAGCTGGCCAAGCTGGAGGGCGAAGGCCGCCGCAAGCTCGAAGAGGTCTGCCAGGCAGCGGGCCTCGCCCTCCCGACCACCAAGAAGCTCAAGGGAGGCGGGGGAGAGGCCGTCGAGCGGCCAGCCGCAGCAGCCGCCGATGGACGATGCCCAGCGGAGGCTCCAGCGAGCGAGGCGTGAAGGAGGAACCTGGAGGTTGGACACGGCCAACACCACCTCCAGGAGCAGCATGATGAGATGGCTGCATCATGAGGCGTCCGCCGACGTTGTCTTCCTGCAGGAGGTCGCGGTGGCGCCAGGTGCCAAGGCGGAGGCCGAGCAGGCTTGCCGCAAGGAGGGCTGGAAGGTGGTCTTCAACGCGTCGGTGGTCACCGACAAGGGCGGCCTGTCCAGCGGCGTCGGGATCGGCGTCCGCGCCCACATCGGGATGGGCGACCCGCCCGCGGGGCCCGCCCTCCCGAAGGAGCGAGTGATCGCTCGCTGGGTCAATTGCGCTGTCCGAGGGGGCTTCCTGGCGGTCTCGGTCTACCTCGTGACGGGCAAGGGTCTCGACGGCGAGTCGAAGCTCGTCCTCGGCCAGTTGGGGCGCTACCTGGCCAGCACGGCCGTGCCGTTCGTGATTGGCGGCGACTGGAACTGCAAGCCGAGTGGGCTCCAGGAGTGGGGCTGGCCGCAGGCAGTCGGCGGGATGACGGTCACGCCTGGCGTTGCTACCTGCCGCAGTCGAGCTGGACTGGTTCGTCGTCTCCAGCGAGATGGGGGAGCTGGTCAGGGGATGCAGGCGGCTAGACGAGACTCTCGCGCCCCACTGGCCCGTCCGTTTGGAGCTGGGGCGGCGAGGCGCACCCGCGCGGCGGCCTGTCCTCAAAGGGCCGCGCGCTTTCCCAGCCGAGCGGCCAGTGGGGCCGCGGCCCAAGCCCCCCGACTGGGGCCCACTGGTCGCACGCCTACGCAGGGTGCTTGAGCAGCTGGGCTGGCCGCAGCCCGAGGCGACGCCTGCGCAGGCAGCGGCGAGCCCAGACCCTGAGGACGCAGCGGCGGGCCGAGGGGATCGGCCGCCAGCCGCCCAGCTGGAGGAGGGTCCTGTCCTGGGCGCAGAGGTCTTCGAGATGGCGGTCGACGACGGCGTGCTGGGGCGTTGCCGCCAAGATGCGGGCGCGGAGTGGGCCGGCACCTTCAGCCTGCTCCTCGGCCCAGGCCCTCTCACCCCCCGTGCTGCTGAAGGGACGGGCGAGGGGGAGTCTCCAAGCGACCCAGGAGGGACCAGCGAGCAGCCTGCGGCGGGCTCCCCCACGGTGGAAGAGAGGGGTGACGCGGTCTCTCGGACGCGAGGGCCTTGCGGCCTCAGTCCTGCAGCCCATGGGCTGGAAGGTTCGGCGAGGGGAGGAACCAGCCACGAGGTGGAGGCTGGGTACCCGACGTTCCCCGAGGATGTGGTGGGGGGCAGCTTGCCGCAAGAGACAGTGAACGTCCTCTACGGGGAGTTCGCCAAGTTGATGGAATCCGACCTGCTGGGATGCTACCGCATCGGGACCCAGGATGCGGACATATACACGGGCCGAGAGGCCAATCCACGGTTTGTCAAGCAGGAGGTGCTCCTGCCCAGCAGCGGCCCCCACGCGCGCGGGCCCCCAGAGGCGGCCCACTGGCGCAGAGTCGGCGCGGTGCTCTGGGAGGAGCTGGTCACGAGGAGGCGTCTGCACCTGCCGAGCGCCAGGGCCGCGGCTTGCCAACAGCTCGAGGCCATCCACGCCAAGATGGGCAGCAAGCTGGCCTCGTCGGTGCACGCGAGAGGCGAAGCCCTCAGCACGCCTGAGGCTGCCAAGTGGAGGAGGCGACTTCGGAGGATGTGGGAGCTCACCTTCGCGGAGGTCGAGGAGCTCGAGGCCGAGGCCAGGGAGATCGCAGGTCGGCTCGAGGCTGGCTGTGCCAAAGGTCGAGACCTGCGCTGGCGCGCCTGGGCCAAGGAGGCGGTGCGGGACGGCGGAGGGGCCGCCCATGCCTTCTGCCGAGCGCCGCAGGGCTGGGCAGCCGACCAGGATGGCGACGACGGGCCTGCAGGTATCGCGGCCACCCTCGACATTCTGCTGGAGGAGTACCAGAACATCTGGCGGCACGGCGAGATCCAGCCGATGGACCTTGACGAGGCTCTGCCAGAGGCTCACCTGGAGGGGTTTGGGCAGGCGCCCACGGCAGAGGAGATCCGCAAGGCGGCGCGATCCTTCAAGCCGTTCACGGCTCTCGGGGTGGACGCCATCAAGCCCCAAGCGTTCGGCCACCTCAGCGACGGAGGGCTGGAAGCGCTCGGGCTGCTGCTGCTGGTGCTGGAGGCATCTTGCCGAATGCCCGAGCAGGTGATCACCCTGCTGGTCTTTTTCCTGGCGAAGCCCGACGGAGGCTGGCGGCCGATTGGGCTACTCTGCAGCCCCATTCGGTTGCTGGGGAGGTTGCGCAGGACCGACGCGGTCGAGTGGGAGTCGGCGCATAGGCGGGACTACTTCTTCGGAGGTGCGGGGAAGTCCTGTGAGGACGCGGTCTGGCTCCAGGCCCACGATGCCAGCGTGGCGGCGGCGATGGAGCAGCACTCCATGTCGACCATGGCGGACCTCTCGAAGGCCTACGAGCGGGTCAATCACGAGGGGCTGGTTGCAGCTGCTCGCCGCCACGGCTTCAGGTTGCGCAGGCCGAAGCTGGTCCTCCGCAGCTACGGCGGCCCGAGGAGGCTCAGTCTCAGCCGCTGGAAGACGGGCGCGATCAGAATCGGGAGCTCGATCGTGGCGGGCTGCGGGTACGCCACGACGCTCCTGAAGGTCGTGCTCCTCACCGCGATGGACGCGGTCGTGGCCCAGTGGGCGTCGCTGCGGGCCTACGTGGTCGTCGACGACATCACGCTGGCCGTCTACGGGAAGCTCAGGGATGTGGAGTTCACGGCCTTCGGCGCGACCAGAGACCTCTGTCAGAGGCTGGAGGCGCTGGGGCTCAAGGTGTCCCTGACGAAGGGCAACATCGTGAGCAGCGACGAGAGTGCAGGACGGCGCGCGGCCCACCGACTGCGGCGCTGGGACTTCAGGCTGCGTCGGGCGGTCAAGAACCTGGGCGTCGACTTCGGCATGAAGCCCAGGGCGTCATGGTCGGTGTTGAGGAGCCGCATGGCTAGGCTGGCCGTCCGCTCGTCACGATACATGGCGCTCAGGCGGGCGGGCGTCAAGCTGGGCAGGATCTTCAGGAGTGGTGGGCTGGCCTCGGTCCTCCACGGAGCTCGGGTCGTCGGGGCCCCGACGGCGATGCTCGAGAAGGCCAGGGCGGTCAACGGCCAGGCGCTGGCGGGGGCAGTGGGCAGCAAGAGCAGAACGCTGCAGTTCGCGCTGCAGCCTGACCAGGGCTGGAAGGCGGACCCCGCCTTCGCGGCCAACAGTCT